TGTCGAGATTTTGTATCCTATTAGTCAATCAACATACCCCAAACTCCATACACTAAATTATTCTCAGATTTGAAGCCGAAATCTATGAAAAAAGGCACTCAGAAAAACTGAAAAATTGATAAATCACCCCAAATTGCTTAACACAATTTTATCTCAGGAACTATAAGTGCAAATGAGCTGAAATTTTCAGGGATTGTAGTCCCTTGAAAGGGATGAAATTCAGTGAAAGTTTCAGCTTTCTATCTAAAATAGAAAAAAAGTTATGACCTTTGAAAGTTTTCCAAAATCCAAATCATAAGGTAGGTACCTTCTTACTAAAACGATGAAATTTCAAATTTTTTTTGTCGAGATTTTGTATCCTATTGGTCAATCAACATACTCCAAACTCCATACACTAAATTATTCTCAGATTTGAAGCCGAAATCTATGAAAAAAGTCACTCAGAAAAACTGAAAAATTGATAAATCACCCCAAGTTGCTTAACACGATTTTATCTCAGGAACTATAAGTGCAAATGAGCTGAAATTTTCAAGGATTGTAGTCCCTTGAAAGGGATGAAATTCAGTGAAAGTTTCAGCTTTCTATCTAAAATAGGAAAAAAGTTATGACCTTTGAAAGTTTTCCAAAATCCAAATCATAAGGTAGGTACCTTCTTACTAAAACGATGAAATTTCAATTTTTTTTTGTCGAGATTTTGTATCCTATTGGTCAATCAACATACCCCAAACTCCATACACTAAATTATTCTCAGATTTGAAGCCGAAATCTATGAAAAAAGGCACTCAGAAAAACTGAAAAATTGATAAATCTCCCCAAGTTGCTTAACACGATTTTATCTCAGGAACTATAAGTGCAAATGAGCTGAAATTTTCAGGGATTGTAGTCCCTTGAAAGGGATAAAATTCAGTAAAAGTTTCAGCTTTCTATCTAAAATAGAAAAAAAGTTATGACCTTTGAAATTTTTCCAAAATCCAAATCATAAGGTAGGTACCTTCTTACTAAAACGATGAAATTTCAAATTTTTTTTTGTCGAGATTTTGTATCCTATTGGTCAATCAACATACTCCAAACTCCATACACTAAATTATTCTCAGATTTGAAGCCGAAATCTATGAAAAAAGGCACTCAGAAAAACTGAAAAATTGATAAATCACCCCAAATTGCTTAACACGATTTTATCTCAGGAACTATAAGTGCAAATGAGCTGAAATTTTCAGGGATTGTAGTCCCTTGAAAGGGATGAAATTCAGTGAAAGTTTCAGCTTTCTATCTAAAATAGAAAAAAAGTTATGACCTTTGAAAGTTTTCCAAAATCCAAATCATAAGGTAGGTACCTTCTTACTAAAACGATGAAATTTCAAATTTTTTTTTGTCGAGATTTTGTATCCTATTAGTCAATCAACATACCCCAAACTCCATACACTAAATTATTCTCAGATTTGAAGCCGAAATCTATGAAAAAAGGCACTCAGAAAAACTGAAAAATTGATAAATCACCCCAAATTGCTTAACACAATTTTATCTCAGGAACTATAAGTGCAAATGAGCTGAAATTTTCAGGGATTGTAGTCCCTTGAAAGGGATGAAATTCAGTGAAAGTTTCAGCTTTCTATCTAAAATAGAAAAAAAGTTATGACCTTTGAAAGTTTTCCAAAATCCAAATCATAAGGTAGGTACCTTCTTACTAAAACGATGAAATTTCAAATTTTTTTTTGTCGAGATTTTGTATCCTATTGGTCAATCAACATACTCCAAACTCCATACACTAAATTATTCTCAGATTTGAAGCCGAAATCTATGAAAAAAGGCACTCAGAAAAACTGAAAAATTGATAAATCACCCCAAATTGCTTAACACGATTTTATCTCAGGAACTATAAGTGCAAATGAGCTGAAATTTTCAGGGATTGTAGTCCCTTGAAAGGGATGAAATTCAGTGAAAGTTTCAGCTTTCTATCTAAAATAGAAAAAAAGTTATGACCTTTGAAAGTTTTCCAAAATCCAAATCATAAGGTAGGTACCTTCTTACTAAAACGATGAAATTTCAAATTTTTTTTTGTCGAGATTTTGTATCCTATTGGTCAATCAACATACTCCAAACTCCATACACTAAATTATTCTCAGATTTGAAGCCGAAATCTATGAAAAAAGGCACTCAGAAAAACTGAAAAATTGATAAATCACCCCAAATTGCTTAACACGATTTTATCTCAGGAACTATAAGTGCAAATGAGCTGAAATTTTCAGGGATTGTAGTCCCTTGAAAGGGATAAAATTCAGTAACAGTTTCAGCTTTCTATCTAAAATAGAAAAAAAGTTATGACCTTTGAAAGTTTTCCAAAATCCAAATCATAAGGTAGGTACCTTCTTACTAAAACGATGAAATTTCAAATTTTTTTTTGTCGAGATTTTGTATCCTATTGGTCAATCAACATACTCCAAACTCCATACACTAAATTATTCTCAGATTTGAAGCCGAAATCTATGAAAAAAGGCACTCAGAAAAACTGAAAAATTGATAAATCACCCCAAATTGCTTAACACGATTTTATCTCAGGAACTATAAGTGCAAATGAGCTGAAATTTTCAGGGATTGTAGTCTCTTGAAAGGGATGAAATTCAGTGAAAGTTTCAGCTTTCTATCTGAAATAGAAAAAAAGTTATGACCTTTGAAAGTTTTCCAAAATCCAAATCATAAGGTAGGTACCTTCTTACTAAAACGATGAAATTTCAAATTTTTTTTTGTCGAGATTTTGTATCCTATTGGTCAATCAACATACTCCAAACTCCATACACTAAATTATTCTCAGATTTGAAGCCGAAATCTATGAAAAAAGGCACTCAGAAAAACTGAAAAATTGATAAATCACCCCAAATTGCTTAACACGATTTTATCTCAGGAACTATAAGTGCAAATGAGCTGAAATTTTCAGGGATTGTAGTCCCTTGAAAGGGATGAAATTCAGTGAAAGTTTCAGCTTTCTATCTAAAATAGAAAAAAAGTTATGACCTTTGAAAGTTTTCCAAAATCCAAATCATAAGGTAGGTACCTTCTTACTAAAACGATGAAATTTCAAATTTTTTTTTGTCGAGATTTTGTATCCTATTGGTCAATCAACATACCCCAAACTCCATATACTAAATTATTCTCAGATTTGAAGCTGAAATCTATGAAAAAAGGAACTCAGAAAAATTGATAAACTCATCCCCAATTTCTTAAAAGAGAAGGCCGGAAACTAATGAAGCTTCCTACTCTCAAATAATGAACACACACCTGTAACATCACGAGGTTCCTGAACCCAAAGATGAATCCATAAATTAGGCACCGAAAATACATCAAAAGCAAGGCCAAAGAAATCCATTATATGTTAAAATAATTTAGTGAAAATAAGGAAAAATTATAAGTACACGTTGGAAATTGAGAGTCTTACAAAGATCAGCAATACTTCAACTTTGCTTCGTACTAAAACTGCGATATTCAGTTCTAAAAATTCCAAATATTAATTGACAAAAAAACAGCCTAATCCCGGCCCTAATAAAAAGCTTAATTTGCAACAAGCCGAAAAAACGAGAAAAATAGCGCACGCTCGCCTCGTTTTATCATCCATTTATTACACGTCCAACAGTCAAAAACTCTATTAAAAGTTCATTAACCAAATTTCCTGTAATATGTGTATACGGATTTTTGACCCTAGAGGGCCACTTAACGTCGTATTCGATTCAAACATTCGAACCACTCTCCGGATCACATAATAATGTTTCATAAGATTGAATTGAATTTGAATTTGAAAATATAATTTTTCATACAAATTCAATTTAGGATCTACTCCAGATCACATTTGAGCCTCAAACTGAACACTCTCGCTTCAGGTTATCGATTTTCCAACAGGATATGTCGATTACAACCCTTCCTATACGCCCCTTTTGCACATATTCGTAATTAACGCCTCCAGCTTTTTGATCGACACAAAACGTTTGCAGTTTCGGCCTCTAAACGTTAGGTGGCGTTACTATTTTTAGTTTTAGATAATTTATAATATTACTACTAATTAGATTTCAAAAGGAATGTCAGGTCTTTTTAAATTATGTTAAAAATTTGTATTGCGATTCAAGATTTGCTTATTCCAAATTGCGATTTCTATGAAAAATTCCGAAGTCTAACGAACCGCGTCGGTCTTAACATTTCAAAGACGCCCGCCAGCGTCACCCTTTTAATACCAGGATGGCATTATACCGTTTTGAATAATCGCTTTCGGACTTGCCCTGGCTCAGATAAATGTCACCCAGGGCCTGTGTTCTAATTAAATCTATAAGAAGGAGGCTAAAAAATCTCTTAAAAGGGCTTTGTTAACACGGAGTAAGGGTTTAAGAGAACGATTAAAAAGTTTTTTCTTGAATCTTACTGATAAGCTTTGATGTTATACTTAAGTCGATTTAATAAATTTGAGCAAAAATTTTACCACTTTCAAGATTTATGAAATATGATAAGAGCATAATATGAAACAATATTGTACTTGAAGTAAAGACTTTAGGGCAGCAATCTATTAAAGAGTGGAGAGAAAACTCCTATATTGATACATTGAACGTTAGTTTTCAACTATTCATTTCTGAAACTCTGCGATTCTTATCCTAGTAGAGAACTACAATCACTAAAAATTTTAACTCATTCGCTATCCACTTTTCAATTCTCTTGGTTAACAAAGTTTTCCGGAAAGGTAGTCTTTACTCCGCTATTCTTTTTAAAGAAGGGCTTTTTTTACACCCTCGGGTAATCTTTAAGGGCTACTTTAATTGTGAGCGGATTTCTCCTTTCACCCTCCGCGCGCCATCTAAATTGCCGTATTTATTCTTTCGTTTTTTTAAATTAGCTTCGTTTCCTTTGGCCCTTTAGGTTTGTTGTGTATCGGAAATTCGAGATATAATTAAAACGCCCTTATTTGTCTTAACATCAGAGGCAAAATTATAACTTAATTACTCACTAATATATTTTTTAATTTTCAGGTATCGCCCACCACTTGGCAGGCCTACCAGGACACCCACACGAATGGGCCTTTTTGGGAGCCAGACACCCATATCCTCATGGACCTTTATTACCGCACCATCATCACCACCCACCTCATTTTCCTCCTCACATGTTTGCAGCTTTAGACCGTCCTTTGAACGCCTCACCAAGAATAGCTAATGGTACTTAATTCAATCATCAAATAATTTGAAAAAATCAACTAAAATCTAAATTGTTTCTAGAAGCATCTTCAACATCGTTGGGCCCCATATCAATCAACTGCAATTCCGCCCATAGCACAACATCGCCGAAAGCTTCACCAACCCCAGGACTTCTAACGACAGCTGAAAGTTCCAAAGATGACATATCAGTAACAGCTTCTCCAACTCCCAGTCCGCAACCTCCTCCAGCTTTTCCAGGAGTTCCGCCACCCAATCAGCAGCAGCAATTGTTCAATAATGCTTTAGCTGCTAGTTTGTTTTTGAACACGCCTCTTCTACCACCTCCCAGTCAGTGGTTGTATTCGCAATTTTATCCCGGAGATTGGAATTGGATGAACAACTTGAGACATCCTTCGTTGGTTTCTTCGATATTGTCGCCTCCTGCTGAGGATTCACAAAATCCTGATAGTTCTAGCGAAAAGTTGGATGTGACGGAAGTTGATGACGAGCCAGCGGTTGTTGATAAAAAAGCTGCTGAAGGAGTAAATTTGTGTATTAAAAGTATTAAAAGTAGACATAAACATGAAGATAAGAATGGTAAGAATAATAGTAAAAATTCAGATGTATGGCGGCCGTATTAAATTAGATACTTTATCAAACACACTGTATATAATTTATGTTTCTATAAGTGTTATGTAAATAAATATATTAGGTATGTTTTGTTAAATCCTACTTTTGTAAATAAAAATTGTTGTAACAAAATTGTTTGGTTTTTAATCTGATGGCTAGATTGGGAGGAAGATGCTTTTTTTTTTTGAATGGCCAGCAACGTTTGCTGATCTGAATCTTTTGGAGTTTTTCTTTGAAATAATAGTTTATCCAAGGGGCAAACTACTTAGGAATTCTTTGGGGAATTTAGAAGAATTTGTGGAGAATATGTCGCGAACTTGATGAAATTTTTGGAAAATTGGAGGAATGTAAGAAATTGGGGGAATTTATTGGTTTCAACATTGAGCGTAATAAAAATAGAAAAATACATTTCTTATCACGAACAATTTTGGGGATTTTTATGGAATTTGTAGCAGGCATTTGCAGGGAATTTGTGAGCAGTTTGGAGAAATTTGCAGGGAATTTGGAGGAATTTGTGAGTAGTTTGAGAAATTGTTTGCACAAATTCGGAGATGGGGGAGGTTTACCCCTTGAGTTTATCTCACATAACCAGAAAGTTTAAAAGTTTGCCAATGCATAAATTAGGAATTCTTTGTCAAAACTTTGGAGAATTTAGGAGAATTTGTGGGAAATATGTCGCGAACTTGAAGGAATTTATAGAAAATTGGAGGAATGTAAGAAATTGGGGGAATTTATTGGTTTCAACATTGAGCGTAATAAAAATAGAAAAATACATTTCTTATCACGAACAATTTTGGGGATTTTTATGGAATTTGTAGCAGGCATTTGCAGGGAATTTGTGAGCAGTTTGGAGAAATTTGCAGGGAATTTGGAGGAATTTGTGAGTAGTTTGAGAAATTGTTTGCACAAATTCGGAGATGGGGGAGGTTTACCCCTTGAGTTTATCTCACATAACCAGAAAGTTTAAAAGTTTGCCAATGCATAAATTAGGAATTCTTTGTCAAAACTTTGGAGAATTTAGGAGAATTTGTGGGAAATATGTCGCGAACTTGAAGGAATTTATAGAAAATTGGAGGAATGTAAGAAATTGGGGGAATTTATTGGTTTCAACATTGAGCGTAATAAAAATAGAAAAATACATTTCTTATCACGAACAATTTTGGGGATTTTTATGGAATTTGTAGCAGGCATTTGCAGGGAATTTGTGAGCAGTTTGGAGAAATTTGCAGGGAATTTGGAGGAATTTGTGAGTAGTTTGAGAAATTGTTTGCACAAATTCGGAGATGGGGGAGGTTTACCCCTTGAGTTTATCTCACATAACCAGAAAGTTTAAAAGTTTGCCAATGCATAAATTAGGAATTCTTTGTCAAAACTTTGGAGAATTTAGGAGAATTTGTGGGAAATATGTCGCGAACTTGAAGGAATTTATAGAAAATTGGAGGAATGTAAGAAATTGGGGGAATTTATTGGTTTCAACACTGAGCGTAATAAAAATAGAAAAATATATTTCTGGCATTTGCAGGGAATTTGTGAGCAGTTTGAAGAAATTTGCAGGGAATTTGGAGGAATTTGTGAGTAGTTTGAGAAATTGTTTGCACAAAGTCGGAGATGGGGGGAGGTTTACCCGTTGAGTTTATCTCACATAACCAGAAAGTCTTAAAGTTTGCCAATGCATAAATTAGGAATTCTTTGTCAAAACTTTGGGGAATTTAGGAAAAATTTGTGGGGAATATGTCGCGAACTTGATGGAATTTTTGGAAAATTGGAGGAATGTAAGAAATTGGGGGAATTTATTGGTTTTAACACTGAGCGTAATATAAATAGAAAAATACATTTCTTATCACGAACAATTTTGGGGATTTTTATGGAATTTGTAGCAGGCCTTTGCAGGGAATTTGTGAGCAGTTAGGAGAAATTTGCAGGGAATTTGGAGGAATGTGTAAGTAGTTTGAGAAATTGTTTGCACAAATTCGGCGATGGGGGAGGTTTACCCCTTGAGTTTATCTCACATAACCAGAAAGTTTAAAAATTTGTTAATGCATAAATTAAGAATTCTTGACAAAGAAAGAAACTTTGGAGAATTTAGGAAAATTTGTGGGAAATATTTCGCGAACTTAAAGGAATTTATGGAAAATTGGAGGAATGTAAAAAATTGGGGGAATTTATTGGTTTCAACACTGAGCGTAATAAAAATAGAAAAATACATTTCTTATCACGAACAATTTTGGGGATTTTCATGGAATTTGTAGCAGGCCTTTGCAGGGAATTTGTGAGCAGTTAGGAGAAATTTGCAGGGAATTTGGAGGAATGTGTAAGTAGTTTGAGAAATTGTTTGCACAAATTCGGGGATGGGGGAGGTTTACCCCTTGAGTTTATCACACATAACCAGAAAGTTTGCCAATGCATAAAAATAATTCAACAAATATACCTAACTAGAAATGCATCATAAGATGAGTTAATTTTAGTTTTAATAAGGATTTTATTAAGAGGATAGCGGTGAGTATTTTGAGCAGTTTTTGGAGGTTTCTAACAAAACTGTAATAGCAAAAGTATTTTGAAATATACGAAAAAGATGTGCCTGAGCTAAGTAGGACATGACTTTTTGCTAAAATTAAGTTTTTTTTTCGCTCACGTTCTAGGCACAGGCTCTCGGACTATAAAATCATCAATTATCATAAAAAAACTCTAAATCTCATTTGATCCCCAGTCGTAGAAACGATAAATCTAAAACTAATCACAACTTTTGGCTTTTATATAGTCGTAGTCGGCGGACCGGTCGATAGTGCGGCAAATCAAATTTTCCAAGAGTAACAAATGTGCCGCTTCTGAAGTTGTTTGTCGGTAGACCGAAGTTGGGGTCCAGAATGTGACCCGAGCCGGTCGCCACTGTGGCTGACCGAAAGGCCCATGCTGAGGTCGGGTACATTCTCAGCGGTCAACTCTCGAACCAAAATCTATAGAGACGAGATGATGATTTTCTTAAAATTTAATTTATAGATGCTTCTAATAATAATTGCAATTTACAAAATAAATTAATAATTGTTAATGCAAATATTATTAACAATTTTGTGTGATTTGATACACACTTGATAATAATTTATCTTTGCTTAGTTGAAAGTTCCTCCATTAAAGACTTTGGTTAATCAAGATAGAGGGGTTTCAATTTTAGGGTAAACACCAAAGTTTTTTGTTTGGAATGGCTGCAAAGTTTTGCAGATTTGTTTTAATTAAGGGGACAAGAAAAGTGTCTAAAATATTGCTTTAGGGTGCAACTAAATTTACAAATAAAAAGGCAAAGCAATATTTTTCTTTAACCGAATAGTTTTCTGTTCTTTTTCCACCTCTATCTCATTACCCCAATTGTATTATTTTCTTCGTGAGGGTGTACTAAAAACGGACACCCATGTGCGAATCTAATTTGCTCAGTGTGCCTGCGCTCATTTGTTCAAATTACGCAGAGGCGACCATTTTCAGGGTCCCAGCGGGCCAGGCCCGGAGTTGACCTCAATTTATAACGAAAAGAAGGTGCAGTCCTGTTCATGGCCGACTGGCCTTCAAGTATCGTCATGTTTAGGAGACCCCAAATTCGGAATTAATGATTGCTTTTATTGAAACTTCAATTTCTTGATAAGGATGCCGACGCCACGGTGGCAAAGCGAAATAGGGAGGGCAGGCGAGCCCTTATTGTTTTTAGACTTTGGATGTGAATTATTTTAGCAATTTGTTTGGAATTTTTGGTAGAGGGTCGTTGCTGGCGGACTTTTGAATGTAATTAGTGGGACATTGAAAATAAATAAGATTCAAATTTTAGATTTCTTCGCTAGTCCATGCAAGATGTTTGACCAATTTGAATATTTATGTCAATTAATATACAAAAAATCTCAAACAAAACAACTTACACAATAACGACTTCGAAAAAAAAAAGCTCATTTCCTAAACGGAGGGCTTGCAGCTTTTTAATATTAAAACGGTCGTATTTTTTCTTGGTTGTCTTCTCCCATAATAAAAACAAACGAGCGTCGACAGTAGTAGTCGTCGTTTGTTCTTTCGTTCTTCCCCTAAAAAAGGAACACAATCACGCAGTAAAATTTAAATGCAGACGGATTTTTAAATTCTTAAATGGTGCGTGCGGTTTAAATATTCCAACTTTGAGACGCTGAAATCTGTTTGACTTTTGGCCAAACCGAATGGATTTATTTTATTTCGGATTTATATGAAAATAGGATAAACGTAAACTCTTATGTAGCTAAATGGATTTTACTAGCTACATACAGAGTGATTTTTTATGAGCTAGCCAATGAATTTTAGTATTTTTATCAAATTCCAAGTTTACCACAGCACTCCCATCAAATTTAGGTTTTTGAAGAAAAGTATCATGCATGAAAACTCCTTTAAAATATGGTATTCTTAGCTTCTATAACAGTTTTTGCTATGGCCGATATGTTACCGCTGCCACCTGGATATGACGGGCGAGTAAGGGAGACTTTGTTTTAGGACTAATAAAAGCCTTTCCTCGTACTGCGGTAGCGTGCCACCAGGGACTATGATTAAAGTCCCAGTGAAATTCTCGGTAAATCGCAACAGGTTAATTTTATGTAATTGATTCGGTTGCCCTTATTACTTGCTACCCGAGCTGTACGTAGTTGGGTTTTAACTGTTTTGACAGGAATCGGTTGTCAGAATAAATCAAAGAAGCATTTTCTTACGATAAAGATTCATATGGAGTTTATTCTAGGTAACAACTAAAGACAATGGAAAATCAGTAGAACGATTGAAATAAAGGAATAAGTACAATAAAAGAATAGACTTATAATAATATAAGAGTAAGGTAGATGACAATACTAAATTTGAATGTAGAATAAAAGTGGAGAAAATAGGTGTGCAGGTAAGCTATGTTCTATGGAAAGCGTGATTATGCTAAATATAATCTACAATTAATGCTAGAGAACATCCTCGACAGGGTAGTACAAATCGGCCTTGTTTGATATCAGGGTTTTAACAGTGAACGACTCAATTAAAC